AGAGAGAAGAATAGTTGGGGAAAGAGAGAGAAAAGAGTGTGGGGATACTGCGTCGCTGCAGCATCGGTGAGACCCGACCAGTGAGCCTGAAATGTAACGTGATTGTGAATCCTGACCGCAGACTTAGGAGTGATTTGAAGAGATCTCAACTGAACTAGGAGCAATCGTCTATCGTAATGCACCAGAGAGAGTATCAGCAACATGCTACTCATTGTGTGATCGCCATCAGATAGACGAGTGAGTGAACTAATTGCTCTTTGTCTCTACATTCTCTAACACCACTTGCATTATGAGTATGACTATGAGTTACAGCTGAGACAGGCAGTCTAAACGAGTCTGTTATTCTCAGTTTCTGAGGTGTTGATAGCTGTCGATGGTAATTAATCTTATTGGGGGGTACAAAATAGTCGCACAATGCGCTCATCCACTTCATTGTACGGAGAGATTCACTCCTGGCACATGATCAACACACTCCTTCCTTTCCCCCATCACCCTTGCGCGAGGATGTTCGACTCATATTCTCTCACCAATGTGGAGGGGAAGACGCAGCAGCCGGCGGCGAGGAGGGCCAAGCATCCAGCGCCAGCAGTCTGCGAGCGCACTACGACACGTACAAGCGCTCGGGCCACTATAGAGAGCGCAAGGCCAGGAGAGAAGTGGAGCCGCTCCGCACACCAACTTATTCAACCTTTCTTTGTCCGATTACACCGCATAGAGCCAATCTTTGTAAACTGGTCAAATTCTCGAACGCGAGCCAAGGTCTTCCTTCCACCAGTACTGACTTTTAAAATGGCAAGATGTGTGTTCCAGGAGTTCGTAAAAGAATAATCGTACTTAATGCCCTTTTTGCTGTTACATCTGCAACTCTCCCTTTCAACAGCACAAGTTGTCTAACTTCTGCGTCCATCTGGGCCCTCAATTGTCTGGCTGTCTGTCAATCACACTGACCGCGTCAGTTTAGCTCCGTTGTATTAAGCAACGCACGCTTCAGGTGGCTGTCTAACATCTTTCAGTCAGTATTAACACACATCTCACACTCACACTATTGTTGGATGTTGATCATAATGATGTGATGTCGGTACTGTTTGTTTACATTATGGCAACAACCCCCCTCACTCCCCTCCCACAGCCGACCTGTTTCTGTCAGGCATCTTCCGTAATCATCATACTGTCTTTGGTGTTTTTTTGTCCCAAACATACTCAGGTGTGTGGTTTCACCTGCCAGCGAAACCCCCCCACCCCCCATCATTCATCTTCGAGGGCGCGAGAATGCTTTTGCTGTTGAAATCGAGTGCTAAATAAAACTATGGGTGTGTTACCCCAGATGATCCATCTTGCGGCGAGGGGGGGGGGGATACATTTCACCGGGGTCATACCTTGGTCGTGTTGTCGGCGTTCACCGCCCGCCTCCTCCTGCCCGCCGCCTGAACGTCGCCAGATATTCACGGTAGGGGATGAAGCAGACGTCGGGCGCTGTCCGTGGTGCTGAAACGCAGACCGAGCGGATTGACCCGCTGCTGCCGCTGTCCATGGTGCTGAAACACTTCCTCAGCAAAGCAGTTTTTTTTGGAGGGCTGCTTTTATTTGGCTGTTTACTCCAGGAATGTGAAAATACTCCGTTGTCGTTCTTGTGAATACATTTGCCTGTCTAATTCCCCCTCGTTTTCCCATTATAAGTTAATTATAAGTTTTTGTATCTACTGTCCATGTGTGACTTATACTACTGATGTATTATAAGGGTCCATATGCAAATGAGATATTGGGGTACAAAGTCTGAACAACCTATATAGCAAAGCTGATATACAGGAAAGAAATAACCTTAAATGTACTTTTTATTTCAATTTATGGTGTCCCGCTATTTCTAAATAGGATTTTCTAGATCAGGTGGATTTCACATAAATAGATACTACTGTCTCTTTGTCTGCTAGACTTCTTTTGCCCTCTTCTCTGCTCCCAAGTTAGCTCATACATTTTGTCTGGACAAGATCGGGTCATCACTGCCAGTGTGGAAACACTGACTGTAGTCACTGCTATCCTCATTGTGTCCTCTGCAGCACGTTGTAAACAGACCCAGTTAGGACTGTTGTAGATCACTAAGATGTTCAACGGTTAGCTAGCCTGAAACCTGAATTTTTCTCAGATTTCTACGTATTATATCTTTGGTCATATTGCTATCATGTCTGAACATAATAACCTGTAACCTGTAACCTGGTTATTGTGCTTAGGATGTTTTTTTCACCAGTAACCTCCACCTTAACATTATACTAATATATTAAGTATGTGTGCGCTTTCATGTTTAAAGTGCTCTGTACCCGAAATATCTGTGTCTCAGCTATTGCATACCATCTTGTGCGGCAAACTGTAGTGTAGTACAGTACGGCGCAGGAGGTAAAACACTGGTTGAGGTGTACATGAATATAACATGAGGTTGATTTATTGACCGGTGGTCCTGCCTGTGTGTTTGTTGGTGCAGAGAACTCCAACATAATCTGAAATCAATACAAATAGTGATGTATAATCCTTATTCATCAACCTGAGAGCATGGCCAGGGATTCTGCATAGAAGAAGAGCTTTGTCGGACAGAAAGCGCTTTGAATACAAGCCTCTGTAGTGATTATTGCAAAGACGGGGCAATAAAACCTCTCATCCGTTGTTTCATTGGTGCACTTTTTTGGTGTTTTTTTTTTTTTTAAACTATGCTCTTCCCATTTAATATATATATATACAGATATATACTGTATCTTTATAGCTCTCTTATCGCAGTCCTGACTAGTTCTCCTTTTGAATGTCAATCCAAGCTTTGGCATCTATCCAGCTGTGTGGCCTTAATGAGTGAGTCTGGTGGAGGTGACATTTACATCACGCTGTGTCGATGAGAACTAGAGCCCACTGGGATGAAGAGCTCATCCACTGACTCAGCCTCCCTACAGGACTACCACACAGCCCCGCTCTGCCACTTCAAAACTTTATCCACTCTTTTCTCCTTAGCTGCTACTGCCTCCTTACACAGTATTTCTGTCTTTCACACATGACTATGTTACTAAGAGGCAATGTCAGAATGGTTTTATGCCAAATCATTTTGTAAGTGTTACTTTATTGCATTTTGTAACACAAGCTTTAATATAGTTTAGTTTTCTGTTATCATATTGTATCATTGAGTAATACCTACTTGTTATACTTGAGATGTTGGGTTCATTGCACTCATTGTAAGTCTCTTTGCATAAAAGTATCAGTTAAACACCTTAATTGTAAGCCCCATGGACTCAACACCTTCTTTCCTGTTTCTAACACCCCCCTCTTCCCTGTCATCTCCAGCTCTTTTTGCCTGGTTGTTCTGCCGTGTAGTTTACTTCCAAGATTACAGTCAAATTAACATTTAATAAATGTAGCTAAAGTTTGAATTCAGGGTCTGACAGAATGTGAGTGCAGGCTTGGGTTCACTGATCTGTCGAAGGATACTTGGTTATTAATGGATACTTTTTCTGTGCCATGTATCGAATAAGTGACCTTTCAAGTTACACACCCACTTGGCTAACTTACAACCAAGTTTCCCATGCCAAAACTGGGCATTTACATCCTTTGCTTGAGCACAGGTACAGATACAAAAATAAACAAAATACTCCCTTAGTAGTAAAAGATATAGAGTAGTAGTTTATATACAGTTTTGTAGTTGGATCCAATGATTCCCAAGTTCCAACCATAGGGTTAGGGGCCGTCCAAAGGGCCAAAAGATAAATTTAAGGGACCATGAGATAATTAATATGATGTTTAGAGAGGAGTCTCACTTCGGTGGACCTGTTTCATAAAAATATAAAGGGTGATAAAGGCCCCAACTATATTGGTGGAGTAGAAGTATAAAGTAGCATCAAAATAAAAGTACGTCAAAACTGTACAGTACTTGAGTAAATGTGCTTAGCTACTTTCCACCACTGTAATAAGCAAAGTAAATGTTAATTCCAGTTACACAGGTATAGTGACATAATGTGAGTTCATCGTGTTCTAGGACATAGTTTTATTCTTGCATTTTGCCTGTTGCAAAAGTGGGAGTAGGTGGGTAGAGAGGTTGGATAGGTGGATGGATTGACATATGTGTACCAGGGTTTGTACAGTGTGAATCCGCTTGCCATATATTGGGTATGAAGGCTTAGTGGCTCACAGGCCTCTGTAAGTAGGTAAATGCAGCTACTAGCTGTGGTACTTCTTGAATAGCTAATACAAAGTGTAAATAGTGACCATAATGCATTTTACACTTATAAATTGGTGATATAATGTGGAATGGTACACTTGACAAACAAGCTAGCTAGCTGTTGTGCTTTTACTTTTTGATCTTTTGCGGTGTATTGGGTCTCAGCGAGCAAACTGTATGACTGACCAGTGTACAGTTATTCTGTTGCATATGGATGAACAGATAATATATGTAACACACCAGTTTGTA